ATATTAGCAATATCAACTAATTGCTTTTGTCCGGTTGACAAACCATTTTCGATTAAATTTTGGTGTTCGGAGTAGGCAATTTTATTTCTTCATGCATGAAGATTTAAATCACTGAGTTGGTAATTATGGTTAATAATTATTTTTCCCGCAGAAGGTTTGTATAATCCGGTAAGCAAACTAATAATTGTGCTCTTACCGAACCCGTTAGCACCCGTTAAATAGTTAAGTTGCCCCTTTTGAAATTGATAATTAATTTTCGTCAGAACCAAGTTGTTTGGTTCATAAGCGAAACTTACTTCTTGAAAAGAAATAACCGTAATTGGTTCTTTGATAATCAAATTGTTTTGAATATCGTTCCGCTCTTCTCGAGCCAGGAATTCATTCAAACGCTTTTTGGCCGAAAAATAATAAGGATAGTTTCATAACCTTTCAATCATTTTTTTTAGCTCGTCGAAGAGTTTTGTCAACATCGTCAAAGCGAGAAAACTTTCCTTACTCTGCATAAAAGGGAGAAAAATCAGGTTCGCAAGCGGAATTAGTAAATAAGAAGGAGCCACGAAAGCCGCTGTGTAAAGAAAATCATTCTGGTTAGCAACTTTTCTCGTTTTCGCTACAATTGGTTGATATTCTTTTCGAAAAGTAAAAAATAAGCCTTTTTTAATTATGAGATTACGATTATTAATTAAAGCATTTTCCTTTTTGGTTTGTTTTTCTAACTGTTTTTGAAATAATAAATCCTTTTGGTAAAGCAAGTAGTCCAAAACCAAACAAGTTAACATTATTAGAAAAGAATAAGCACTTCCCCACCCCAAAACATTATCCCGAGCCTTGTTAAGGCCGATAAAAGTATAAATAGCGCTGAGAATTAGAAGAAAAATCTGGTTAGGAACAAATACTACCATATCCGCGAAATTACGCAGATCATAAGTAAGAACATTAAGAGCCTCTTTTTCCTCGTAATTCCCTTGAATTTGTAAAATCTTGTGAACAATGTCCCGCTTAACATCGTAAATAATCTTGTTGGCAAAATAATGACGATAATAAACGTGAGCCATTACTATTAGAAAGTAGACCACAATAGTTCCCCCCATAAACCAGGCAAAAGATTGCCAGGCGGAAAAAGTATGAATATTGGTTCAAAAAAGACTAAAATCAAGGTTTTGGCTTTTCCCCTTAATAACATCATAGATTTTGCCGGCCGCATTTTCTTTGATAATAAAATTAAATGAGGAACTTAAAACTCCCAAAAGATAAAGAATAACTTGACTTTTTCGGTATTTTTTGGTGATATTGAGAAAGTTAAGAACTTTTTTGGCGGTCATTTATTATCTTTTTACTTTTTGGTTGAGAAAAAATGTTCCATGCTTGTAAAATGGTTTCGGTTGTTGGTTAGTCAAGAGTTAAAAAAAGTTTTATTGAAGAAAAATAAAAAGCAGCAACTACAAATGACGGTAAAAATTAAATAAACTTAGCCAAAAAGGTTTTTGTGAGTTAAGAGTCCTTTTTGTAAACATGACGATTACTTTTGTGAGTTTTCTTGTTGTATTGATGTTTATCATGAAGAATTTATTTAATGCGAGAAGGAGTGCGATGAGAAGTCCACAATAAAAGACTGAAACGATATTTATTCCTTGCCGATTTTTCCTTCGAAAGATAATCACTTTTAAAATTATTAGACGAGGTTAAAAAGGAAATGTTTGAGTTATGAGCTAAACACAAGAAGAAAAAGAAAGATTATGAAATATTGGAAGCAATTGAGAACAAAATAAAAAACGAAGAGTTTGCTAAATATGAACCAGAACTAAAAAATTGTTTTTAAAAGTTAAAAAGACATTAAGCAAAGAAGTCAAGGAAAAATATGAAGGTGAGGAAAATGAATCAGAAAACTAAATTTACTACTGAGGGGGTGAGAAAAAGCTGGCTAGAAATTTTCCAATCAAAAGGCTATTATTTACTAGAGCCGGCTTCGCTTATTCCGCATAATGACCCTTCTTTACTTTGAATTAATTCGGGGGTAGCAACTCTGAAAAAGTATTTTAACAATCCCGATTTGGCTCCTAGTCGTAATCTCGTTAACTGTCAACGAGTAATCCGCACGGATGACATTCAACAAATTAATCAACATTCTTATCACCAAACTTGTTTTGAAATGTTGGGTTGTTTTTCGATGGGGGGAAATTTCAAAGCCGAAGTTATTCCGATTATTTGGGAGTGATTTACTTCGCCAGAATGACTAAATATAAGTCCGCAAAAGCTTTTTGTTACGGTTTGAGAAAACGATAAGATAAGCTTGGAAACTTGAAAAAAACAAGGCGTAAAAGAAGACCACATTCTTTTTGGCAGCAAAAAAACTAATTTTTGGGACATGGGCGATGGACCGTGCGGCCCTAATAGCGAAATTTTTTTCGATTTTCAAACAGAACAAGAATTACCCAAAAACGTAACTGATTTGGATAACAAAAGATTTATCGAAATTTGTAATATTGTTTTTCCCGAATTTTATCATAAGGAGAAAAATTATTTGCCTCTGGCTCAAAAATGCGTTGATGTAGGAGCAGGCTTGGAAAGAATTGTTATGGTTTTGCAAGGAAAAAAAAATACCTTCGAGATTGATTTGTGAGAGCCAGTTATTAAATTGACAGAAAATTTTTGCCAAAAAGTTAACTGCTGTCAAGATTAAAAGTGATTGTGCAAAAAAATCAGTGAACTTCAAGCATGAGTTTTTTGGAGAGGAAGAAACAAAGAAAGAAATCGAAAATCTTATTAAGAAACTAGAAGAATTAAAAAAGCAATATAATGGAGAGTAAAATTTTTTAAACTTTGGAGCGTAAGTTGCCTCGGGAATCAAAAAAACACAAAAGGTAAAATTGGAATATTTAAATGGCTAAAGTCGGTTGTGAGAATTAATTTGCTTGAGAAACCAAAAAAAGAGAAGAACAAAATATTAAAAGGGACACAAAGTTGGTTTTTGTGTTTTTATTCACTAATAATTTCGAAAACTGCTCGTATTACTAAATTTAGACATTCGACCCGGTGGGGAAAATGAGATATATCGTGAAAAACTTTCAAGTTTGGATAGTCGTCCAAAAAATATTTTTTTCCTTTTAGCATGGCTTGGCAGTTAGTTATTATTTGGTAACCAGTTTTTTGGTCTTTTCCCTCCAAATAAGAAAATAAAATATTACTACCGCTTATGGTAATAAGACAAGATTGCTGTCCCGCAAAGTAAATTTTTTTGATTAAAGAATCCTCAATTTTGACAAGCAAGTGTAAAATATCGCCGCAACTGCCCGCGGTGTTGCGAAAAGTAAAAAAAGGCACTTGCCACTCTTGGCTAATTAGTTTTAATTTTTCTAGTTCTACTTGCTTGGTAGGAAACCGAAAATTGTCTAAAATTATTTTTCTTTTTTCTTCGGAAGAACGAAACATGTTAATTTTTTTGGAGAATTTCTAAGATAATTTTTCTGCATTCGTCAATTCTCAACAACTCATTGCAAAAAAATTTTAAATTCTCTTTTGGGTGCCTTTTAGTTCTCTCTTTAACAATTGCCTGATAATCTATCCCGGTTAGCTCACAAAATTCCTGGCCGGTAAATGCTTCCGAAGGTTTGATTTTGTTCTTGAATCCTTGAATAATTTTTTTCTTATCAACTTGGTTGAAACAACAAACTAAAATTAAGGTTTTATAAGGAACATTTTCGGAAATATGGTTTTTAAACTGCCGCAAAGCTTCTGTTTCTCCGGCTGACTTTTTAGTATCAAAAGCGTCTCCATCTTTTAGCTCGGTTATGTAAAGAGTTTTGGTTTCTTTTTTTAGAATTAAATAATCTGGTTCATGTTTAAACTTGAATTTAGGAGAATTTTTAACTATTTTTTTCGGAATCAAGTAAGTCTTTTTATTACGAGGAATACCTCTGGTTTTCTCTTCTACTTCCAAACTAATCAAATACACCCTCAAATTTCCCTCTCCCCCTTCCGTTCCTTTTTCAACATGAATATGGATTTTCTCGGGTCTTCTTTTCGATTTGGCTTTAAACTCTTCGGGATAAAATTTTCATTGATATCCTCCTTGTTTGCTTCTAGGGTCTCGGGCAGGAAAAACACTAGGCATTGCTTTTAACCCTTCATTATCGGGCATTCGTAAGTTTAAATTTATTCCCTTTCCTTGGTAAAAATTGGTAAGGGGAGCATAAGCATTTAAAGTTTCTGGTTCGTGGTCGTCTTGACCGAACAAAAAACTTAAATCACAATTAGGTTTATTACACCACAAATATTCTTCTTTTTTTAATTCTTTACCACACCTAATGCATTTTTTCATAAATTAATTTTCTTTACTATAATTCTATCTCTCCTTCCCCTTCTCCCTCGGGTTCTCAATATTCTTCTTCACTCTCTCCCTCTTTTTCTTGTTCGTCCTCTTGCTC